CTCACGTTCGCGTTAGAAATTCGGTTCGTGCGAGAGATCCGTCGGAGGGGCCTGACATCCTACTCTCCCACAACTCCCTTTTGATCCGGCTTTGCGCCCGAACGGGTAAAAAGTCGTGACAATATATATATATATATATATAGATTATGACGGCAACGACGATGTTCTCACGGTCTCGCCAGCCGTGGAGGAGCGTGCTGTCGCTTGTTCTTACTACTTGATCTCCTTAAGTACTCTCAAAATCGCGATCAGACCCTCAGAAACCCAGATGAAAGCTCGACCACAGAATTCCTCAAAGTGTGGGTGCCAGGTGCGACTCCTGGCACCACGATACACAAAACGTAACTCTCTCAGGCGTGAGTCTACTCGAAGGATCGTAGTTGGAAGCAGAGAGGGAGCGTAGCGCAATTAACACATCCAATTAACAATAAACAGAAAGAAAAGTATATTTAGATAATGTAGGTAACAAGTGAAAAAAGGTAGGCGAGTTCCACGGCAAACAAGCAGAATCCGAGTAAGCGTCCCGTGTCACCCCACGAGCGCGATACTCATTCCATCGCCGAATTGCACAGTAATTCCCAATCAGTTTTATACATTAATTTCTCCCGAGTCTTATACATTACTTTTTACCGACATAGACCATAACGAATTCTACCCTATCACTCGAACGCGAGATAACCGAAAAACATTTCTTTCTGACGAAGCACAAAAGTACGCACCTACAACTAACGCCAATTACTTACAATTAAACGCGGCATATCACGACAAACGCAAAGACATTCACTTACAATTAACGCGGACCTAACCGGAAACGACCATCGCAAGACACTCGCACGCGCGAGAGCAACTTCCCGAATCGACTGCGGATCGCCCGATAACGCGAGTCTCGAACGACCGCGAACCTCCCGACTATTATACGCGAGTCCCAAGTGACCGCAAATCTCCCGATTGCGCAAGTCCCGAATGACCGCGAATCTCCCGATTGCACGAGTCCCGACTGACTGCGAATCTCCCGATTACGCGAGTCCCGAAAGGACGCAAAACTCAAAGGCGCCCGTCGCCACGGCGCGGTGGGCGGGATCACGTGCTGCTCACGAAGAGCTCATCTCGCTACGCACAGTATCCTCGACGCTAACGATCTTCACCACGCGAATCCTTGCAACATTCTCAACCCGATCCGTTACCGTGTGACACAATTAGACGGACGAAGACTACAAAATTAAACGCACGCTGACTGTCGGCGGCCGTACGCTCAAATTCCCGAGACGGGCACCCGCGATCACTTTCCCGCACGGACCCTCCCGCGGTATGGTATTCGGTATCATTCAAGTTACGGCGGATCTCATCTATTCCCGCGGCACAACGCGACTCTCGGGAGGGCCTTAGTATTGCGACGATCTTACTTTGCGGAGGCTGCAAGCAGTGGCCTTACAAGAGATCGCTCGATCCGGCAGCTCGTCGTTCGGCTCGCAGGGCTGGATGGTACCTGGACGGCGGCGGCGGCTCGCACAACAGTGGCCTAGTTTACACCGATCACTTGATACGCGTATTAAATAGTAAATAACTAGTAAATAAGTCGGATTATTGGCTGATCAGTTCAAATATACTATTTGATACGCGTATCAAGGGATCGGTGTAAACTAGGCCAGTGATCTTCCCTCAGCCCGGCGGGACCACGCTGGGCCCGCGCGCGCCCGCGTGCGCCGGTGTCCCTAGCCCGGTGCTGCGTCCCGGCATGTTAGCGATCCCTCTAGGCGATCGCCGCGCCTTACTAGGGCGCCCCTCGCAGCTGCTTTTATCCGCCGGCGGTAATTTTGAAACTCGCCCACGTGAGACCGGCTATCCAGGCCGCGACTCATCGCCCGGTTATTCGACGGCCAGGCTGGCCGGGCCATGGCTCGTCGACCGGTGACGGTATCCCGGTGGTGGCCCCGTTCCTCGACGGGGACCTTCGTCGGGGCGTCCCCCATTTCGGGTCCTCCGTTTTCGGGCTGCAGTGCGCTAGTGCGGGTTGATTGTGTGCCTTGACAAGCCGTCTGCTGTTCCGGCTGTGGGCCCCAGCGTGACCCGCCCGTCGGCCGTCCATCCTCGGAAGCTTCCGGCTGTCCACCTGAAGTCCTTCGGTGCGGCATACGCCGTTACAAAATTCCGTGACCCTGGCCATCTGCTCCGCACTTTCTCGTCACCTGTAAGTCTCGCTTTAAAGATTTTAGCCCTAACCTAAACGCTCGCGCTCTGCCCGCCTCGGGCGGAGGCACCATCCCTGACGCCTCCCTCGGCCGAGCTCCCATCTGAGTCGAGGGACATGACATTTGTCACGTCACAAGATATATATACAAAATTTTATTTTTTACAATTATACACAACATATATGTGTACTAGATAGCTGACATCTGACATCGAGAGCTTTTCAAAACACTGTCAATGAATTTCTTTCGTAGATATATATTTATTTAAAAAATATAAATATTATTAAAAATAATTTTTCTTACACCCACAAAATATACGTTTTGTAAGATTAAATAAAACTCAATTAATTAATTAATATATAATTAATTAATCCCGATTTCCTCAAAGATCGGTAACGAAAAATTATACACTTTATGGCACTCCCCGGAAAATTCTACCCCTACTTCATACACAATGCTTTAAGATTCAGTCAATTAATTCCCGAAAAATTGGAAAAATTTTGTAACCAGCTTCCAAAAAGATCGGTAACGAAAAATTATACACTGTAAACGTCAGCCAAGGTCATAGGCCTCATTTGTATTGCGCGCGGTTAAGATGGCATGCGCGGCGGCAACGCCCATTGGCTAAAGACGTTAATTATCAACAGCGCTCGGGTATTGCGCGCGGTTCGAGATGGCGTTCGCGGCGGCAACGCCTATTGGCGGAGGACGCTGATTGGCGGGTGGCGCTCAGGTTGCGCGCGGGATTTCGGTAGCGGCCATGATGTAATAAGATAGGTGTAACATTCCCGTAGATGCGCACTCGTCCAAAGTTATGGACCAATCAGGAGTCGGTCGCAAATGCTAAAAAGCAATATGGCTGCTAACAGCTGTTGTTGTTAGCTGTCATTCTCGGGTAATAAAGCGGGAAAAATTATAAACACTAAACAGTTATTAAAATAGTAAAGTGAAGAGAAGTGAAGTGAAGTGAAGTATTGTGAAGTGTAATGTAGTGTCCCAGGTAGAACAGAAAGTCACAATGAAGTCAAAATGACATCAAAATGATAAAATGACCAAAAATCGTCATTTTGATATCATTTTGACTTTATTGTGATTTGCTGTTCTACCTGGGGTTCTATTGTGTAGTATTGTGTGTAGTGTCGTGTAGTGTTAGTTAATGTAGTGTTGTGTAATATAGTGTTGTGTAGTGTTGTGTTGTGTTGTGCTGTGTTGTGTTGTGTTGTGTAAAGTGGGTGAAACGGGGACCGATAGAACAGTAAAAAGACATTAAAAAAATAGTAAAACGATATTTTAAAAGGACAGTAAAAAAGGACATCGTAGAAAAAAATACATTGTAAAAGGACAACAAAAAGACATTGTAAGTATCTTGCATGAAAAGAACTTAATATAACAATAATTTTCTATACAAATCTTTTCATTTACATATTATATATTTTCTTCTGCTTGCAGAAATCATGCCGACGTGCTGCATAAAAAATTGTGCAAGCCGCACAGACCATACGAGCACAAGGGGTTTGAAATTCTTTAGATTCTCCAAGGAGACTGACATTCGTCAGCAATGGCTTGATGCTTGTCAAAGCATCATAAACAAACATAAAAATTGACACTGGTAAGTTGATGTAATGTAATAATTTAAACTAAATAATTACCATATAATTTGTAGCACACGTATGCAATCTCCATTTCGAAGAAGATTGCTTTCAAATGGAATGGACAAAGCCACGATCAAACAATGTGCCTGCCAAACTAATGCAAAGACTGAAAAAGGGTTCTATTCCTACAAAATTACTGTTATTGCAAAAAAAACGGAAAGAAATAACGTCTGAAGATGGAACTGTAGAAAAGCGTGTTACAAATGAAAAGAAAAAAGTAAAAGTGCCGTAAGTATTTTCTTTATTTTTAAATGGATAGTTGTCTTAATTTATTTAAAAAAAAGACTTGTACTAGTGTACACAAAAATGTATATGTGCCATTATATAGAAAAACAAAAAAAATTTATAATACATTTTACTTGCAAAAATACATTATTATTATACTGTGTAATGTAAATATGTAAATAAATAAGAAACTACTTCTTTATATTTTTCAGAGTAAAGACAGACATACTTAAATGAGGAACAAATGTATGTATCTTAATTTAATCTAAATTACTATTTATAAGCCCTCCATCATCTTTCTTTACTATGCGCATTACATTGACATTACAATTAGTTTTTGTCTATTTCTAAACTAATTTTTAGACAATATATCTACCTCTTTATTTACATTGTATAGTAGTGTAAAAATGCAATTATATTTTTTGCAGAAATGAAGAAGTTGATGACCACCAAAGTATTTCTATGGAATCTTTATTGGATCTTTTGAAGAAAACAGAAGAAGAAAAGAAGAATTTATTAGCAGATAAAAATAAACTTGAACAAGAGAATCAACAGATAAGAAAGAAAAATGAGAAACTAACAACAGAAATCGAACAGTTGCAATTAAGTGTAGAGCAAAAATCCTGTACCATTGCACAAATGACACTACATAAGCAGAAGGAAGCCGAAAAAATAGCGGTCAATGTCTTGAGCAAAGTGTTCACGCCTGGACAAATAAAAAAATTGATGTCACCTAACGACATTCGAATAAAATGGTCATCCGAAGATATAACGTC